GAAAAAGGAAAAGGAAAGAAGGAAGGAAGGGGAAGTGAGAAAGAAAAGAAAAAAGAAAGAAAACAAACAAAACAAAGAAAGAGAGAAAGGAAAGAAAGAAAGACACTGTGTATTCTGGGAATCTTGATAATTCGGTTTGGCTGAAGCACAGAAAGGGAAGTTGGGCCTAGGAGAAGATGGGCCTGTAAGTGTGGGGTTGTGTGCAACGTAAGCCCAGCTAAGGAGCTAGAGTTTATCCTCCAGGCAGTGAGCATGGCAGGATTGGCAGGATGGGAGGGACAGACACTAGTGACTGTGGAGATGGACATTCTTTCCCTTGGTAGCCAATTGGATAGAGGAAGTGAGGGAGGACGAGGACTCCGAACGTTCTTATTCTTGGTTGACGGTGCCCAAAAGACACATAACCAATGGGAGACCCAAATCTGTGGCCTTTGCTTCCTTCAGGCCTGTGACCCTGGGCTGTCTCGAATATGTGACCAGAACACCTATCTGAGTGGCCTGTGTTACCTCTTCCACCAGAATCTGCAGGGTCCCGTGTTGCAGGGGCGCCCTGGTTTTCAGGGTAAGGAACTGGGGACTCAGTGGGTAAAAATACCTCCAAGTGGCTGCTCCTAGAGAGAACCGGCATGGACGGGTCAAACACCAGAGGCGCTTCCCTGGGTCTCTTGTGTCTGACCTCTGCAGAATGTATCAAGGGCAACGTTGACCTCGTATTTCTGTTTGATGGTTCGGGGAGCTTGCAGCCGGATGAATTTCAAAAAATTCTGGAATTCATGAAGGATGTGATGAAGAAACTCAGCAACACTTCCTACCAGGTAAAAATGTTAGTTAGGATTCTTGGTTGCAGGCAATAGATGCCTACCTGAACTGGCTTAAACCATGAAAGGAAATTTTAGTATGTGGTATCCTCAGAACCTATGGGCATGGCTACAACTGGGCCTACAGAAGGAACAAGAACCAGGGAGTAGAAAGTTCTAGCAGGCTCTCTAGTTCTTATTTCCTTTTTTTTTTAGACAGAGTTTCTCTCTTGTTGCCCAGGCTGGAATGCAATGGCGTGATCTTGACTCACTGAAACCTCCGCCTCCCGGGTTCAAGCGATTCTCCCTGCCTCAGCCTCCTGAGTAGCTGGGATTACAGGCACCTGCCACCATACCCAGCTGATTTTTGTATTTTTAGTAGAGATGGGGTTTCACCATGTTGGCCAGGCTGGTCTCGCTCGAACTCCTGACTTCAGGTGATCCGCCCACCTTGGCCTCCCTTAGTGTTGGGATTATAGATGTGAGCCACCACGCCTGGCCTTTTTTTCTTTTTGAGACAAGGTCTTACTGTGTCCCCAGGGCTGGAATACAGTGGCACAATCATAGCCCACTGTAGCCTTAAACTCCTGGGCTCAAATGATCCTCAAATGATCCTTCCTACACATGTGCACCACGGTGCCCGGTTTAATTTTTAAATTTTCTGTAGAGATGGTGTATCACTGTGTTGCCCAAACTGGTTTCAAACTCCTGGATTTCTCAAAAGATCCTCCTGCCCTGGCCTCCCAAAGTGCTGGGATTACAGGCATGAGCCACTGTGTCCGGCTAGTTCTCATTTCTGTTTCCTTTTGCGTCTTAGCTTCCTTCTCTTTTCCCAGTCTCTGTACACTGGCTCCCTTAGCACTTTTAGACCAGATGGACCTATGGAAAGCTCCTAAGTTCATGTGTTAAAATTCCAAGAGGACTTTTTGCCTTCCCCTCAACCAACTCCTCCCTTTGGAAATTCCCAGTTGTCAGAGAAGAGATTCTGGCTGGCCTACCTTCAGTCAGGTGCTCACCCCGGCCCAGCCAACTGTGTCTAGTTAAGCCAGGTCACTCAGCAGAAATATGGCTACCAAATCCCATCCCTGTCAATGACATAGGCAGACCCAGAAAACAGAAGCTAGGTACACAGTATTACGTGAGGGAGCAGAGGTTTATTTCATTCTATTTCTGTGCTTATTCTTATATTGCCTCATTTT